CTATTGCTACTATTACTATTCGTCGTATGTTTGTTGTTGTTGCTGTTGCTGTTGCTGTTATGTTTGTGTAGAAAACTATTGAGTCGCTGGCAGATGGGTCGTAATAGTTGCACTTGAATCCACAGCAACAACAATTGAAACGTACGCAACGTTCTGTCGATGGGCCTAGGCGCAGGCGCATATAAACTCGTCGTTGTTGTTGTTGTTGTTGTTGCTTCTGCCACTGCCGTAACAGCTGTTTTGGTTGTAGTTAGCATATTTTGGCGTTGCTCGATGAATTTTGTACCGGCGGCGAGTGCTGGTAATGATGATGACGATGTTGATGTTGATGTTGATGTTGATGTTGGTGGTGTTGCTGATACTGTTGCTGTTGTTGCAAATGATTGTGCTGGTGATGCTGGTGATGCGGGCGATTCGGACGCTGTTGTCAAATCTAAATCAATGCTTGTTGTTGTTGCAACCTCCATTGGTGATGTATTTGTTGTTGAATTTGTTGTTGCTTTTGAAAAGTGTGATGCTGTTGCAGCTGTGTTAGGTGTTTGTGGCACGTTGCACGTGGCCCAATGCGTCCGCCGTCGACAGCTGCAACACACAGCTGCAGTTGTTGCCACTTCAGAAGTAGGATGCGTGCATTGTTGCATTACCGGCTGCCGCTGCTGTAACTCTGGCGCAGATGTGGCACAACTCGTCAGCTTTGTTGCATACTGCTCGGCTGGTGAGCAGCGGTCTTCGCCCAAAAGTGCCGCTCGCTCAGCGCCGCAATCAAACTCGTTTGGTTGCCATTGATGTCGTTCGGTAGCACCAAGTTGACAGTCACACGCTGTTGTTGCAAATGTTGGTGTTGCCACTTCCACCACTGCTGCACTAACGATTTGCTGCCGTACGCCAGTGTCGCGCTGACAACAGCTGCTCCGCAAGCTTTGACCATAGTTGGCTGGCGCTTTCCGCGTGCTGCTGCTGCTGCTGGCTGCCGATGTTGCTGCAAAAGTGCTGCAACAACGCGTGCAACATTCCTCCACTCGCTGACGACAAATGACGCAAACATTTTGCCGCGCAGCTGCGCTTCCCTCAGCCAAGGCCAATTCGGCAGCTGACATTTGCTGAGATGTGATTGCCGCTACTGTTGCCGCTTCCGTTCCTCTGCCATTCGCTCTGTGATGATCGCTCAGGCGTTCTCCTCCGCCGGTGTCTGTAGCATTTTGCATGCGTTGCGCCGCCGCTGCTGCTGCCGATCGTCGCCGACTGCGTAGCGCATAAGTGGCCACCGTTTGGCTTACTGAGCGTGCCACATCGTCGTAACGTTGCCTTTGCACGGCCACGCGGCTGCTGTGGCTGTAGCTGTGGCGTTGTCCGCCTTTATTACTCAATCTCTCGCAATTAACGTCCATTTTCGCTAAACAATTTACGATTAACTTTTGGCATGAGCTTACATTAGTGCGGGATTTCCCCTACGGCAGTCGGTTATTCAGATTTTGGGGAAAACCGCCTTTTCAAGTTTAAAAAATTTTATTTTTTTTTAATTTTTTTCAACCTTTCACTTTGCTGTGGTTATTTTTAGTTATTAATGGGAGGCTCTGTGGTTGGTTTTCTAAGTTGTTGTTGTTGGTTTTTATTTAGCTTTTTGCCTTACGTCATGTTCCGATCGATGGCCTCATTATTTTCCTTGGTTTTGTTATTTGGATGGAATTTGGCATTTTTCGCACAAAATATAAAACTCCGCTGAAAAAAGAGTAAGAAGAAGAAAGAAAAAAAACTATTAATAACCAATTCAACTAAGTAGAGCATGGATTTTTTTTATTCATATATCTATATGTACTTATTTTTAGTCACTGAGATGTAGATGAAATACATATAAATGGTGAATATCGCTATTATTATTTTTTTTTGGGGTTATTCACATAAAAAAGTAGCTGAGCCATATCGTACCGTAATACGACTTCTGCCAAGGTACCAAAACACCGGCAACTTTGTTATACAACAAACGTTAATTATGTTGTAGGTATTTACGTTCATTAACCATAGAGTTCAAGAAGACTTGCTTGGCTACCACGCGCACGTTAATTATTTTGCTCACCCCTCTATACCACCTAATAAATTTTCCAACACGTCCACATAAAATAACCTTATACCGCGTCCGCAGACGACGTGGCCGACGTCATCAAAGCAAGAAACACCCAGCTGGCACAGCTCAAATTGAACCTGGTCATGCGTAGTGTCTGCAATTGGCTACGGCCAAAACAGAGATCATAATGCTCACCAAGAAGTGGATCCCAACAATTATAAACATTATGGACCGACCTCAGCTCAGGACAACTTGTAGGTCTATAAAATACCTATTTTTGAGGCTAGCCAACAAACTCACATTTTGGGAGCACATTCATGGAGTATATGAAAAAGCCGAGCAGAACACGGTGACTCTAAGCCGTCTGATGGCGAATGTGAGCGCCCCGAAATCATGCCATAGGAAGCTTTTGATGGCAGCAGTCCAGTTGGTGCTCGTGTACGGAGCAGAAATATGGGCCGATGCATTGAAAGTCAAAGAGTACCGGATTAAAATTTATTCGCTCCAACGCATTGCCTCCGCATACCGTGCAGTGTCCGCAGAATTGAGCAACTTGCCCACGAGCGAAAAGAGATTTACAATCTCAGTGCCGAGATAGGCCGAACAGCTGCCGCGGCAAGGGTACGCGAGCAATTATTACAGCGGTGGCAACAAAACTGGAACCTGAGCACGAAAGGTCGATGAACGCACATCCTAATAGCCGACCTTCAGACATGGTTGAAACGACCGCACGGAGAAGTCGATTTCTACCTGACGCAATTCCTTACCGGTGGGAGTTTGGGTTTGAGTGGGTAGCCCAACACGCTTCGGTGGGAGTCCCACACTCCGTGAAGGTAGCTTAGAGACTAGCACCCCCAGCCAGTGGATACATCATTCCATACTGTAGCCTCAATTAAGTTAAAAGAGAATTGCTTCTCCAATCGGTTCTAAAGTAGATGAAGGGTTGAATAATTCTTCAAGCGTAGTTCGGTTTTCTTA